CTCGGTGGGACAGCAGTAAGTCTTCGGATTTACAATGCTAAAATCATGGGTTCGATTCCCCTCGGTGGGACAGCAGTAAGTCTTCGGATTTACAATGCTAAAATCATGGGTTCGATTCCCCTCGGTGGGACAGCAGTAAGTCTTCGGATTTACAATGCTAAAATCACGGGTTCGATTCCCCTCGGTGGGACAGCAGTAAGTCTTCGGATTTACAATGCTAAAATCACGGGTTCGATTCCCCTCGGTGGACACAGCAGATCGCCCTATGTGGGTTTGCTATAAGAAAACACACACACGCACACACTCTTCCCTAGTGGTTCGTGTTACGATAGAAGTAACTATAAGACAAATAGACTGATGTTTGGCAGAATGTTCGTACTTAATTAACATTCATAACAACTAATTTAATGGTTCTCGTGCTTACATCATTCAGTATTTGTGGAGTAGGAAACCCAAATCATTTTTTTTTTTCGTTGTTGTAAGGTTGCGAAAAATAATAACGAATACAAATTACTAATGTAATACTTTCTTTTCTGTCAGGCTGAATATTTGAATTACCTTTCTGTTCCAAATGACTTGTTCTGTTTTCCAAACCGCTGCGTTAGCGTTATACCTATGTCATTTTTGAATTACCAAAGTACCGTGGATGCTAATAACAAATAAAAACTAAAGACATACCTAGAAACGCATTGTCTTCTTTATCGTTAGCTTAATGTATTATCGATTTTGTTTCCTTTATGTCGACGTTTTGGTTCACTCTAAAACAATGGAAACTGCCTAGTTTCAGCAATACTGGAGAATAAAGTATACATTCAAATAGTATATGCAAAACTAGCATTTTTATTCATATTTTTTGCTGTATAATAATAGAATTCAATCTATGCAATCACATTTGACACCAACTGGGGGTGGGTGGGCAGTGTGTACTTAAAGTTTGGCTGCATTTTAATAATTAAAAATAATTCCATAAAAATACAGAAATGTGCCGAACAGTTGACAGCACGAAACTATATAAAGGCTAGATAAAAAATTTTAGACCAACTAGTTTTAGGGGCCGAACACTGACCAGTGGTTAGAGTGTCGGTTTGTGGAGCTGAGACTCCGTGGTTCGCGTCTCGTTACTGGAAAAAAAACACATCGCGCTCCGCACTTTGGGGATGTGAACGCGTTGTAAGAATAACGACCAGGTCCAACTATTTCGTTGGGCAAGAGTACCTTACGAGTTGACGGTGGGTGATGTTGTTCAACTGTCTACCGATAAGACTATCACTTCAAAAATAGAGACGTCTAACGCAAGTATCGCTCGTGTAATTTTACGCGAAATCCAACAAATAAACAAACAAAACAGATTTGAGTAATCTTGGACTCGTTTCCTTTTGAACATGCCCCCCCCCCCCCAGCGGTATGTCTGTGGACTTACAATGCTAGAATCGGGTTTCGATACCCGTGGTGGGCAGAGCACAGATAGCCCTTTGTGTAGCTTTGCGCTTAACTACAAAGAAAAAAAAACCTTTTGAACCTTTATCTCTGACAGCTTCGACTCAGGTTTATAAGTGTTCAAATTACAACTTAGAATCTACAGTTGTGAAATAGCATTCTAACTGTCTTGAATTACCAGATTCTATGCAAATATACAAAGATATTTACGCATAAGGAATGGGGATTATATTGAAAGAGCATTTGTAATTCAATGACACCCATTATACTGTAATGTGAGATTCAGTTGTATACTTTACCATTGAATAGCAATTTGTTATTCTAACTCTGATGCAGTTTGTGGTATAATATATAAGAAAATCGAACCCAGCCCATCGAGGCAACCAACCAGCTTTAGGTTGTGTAAGATCTTTATATGGTATGTGTATTCTCTTTTATGATAAGTGAAAAAGGAACAAAGTTGTTTTAAAATGTGCGTTTTTGGCTGTTGTTATTAAGCATATCTATAAACGCATGTCATTTATAGGTTGTGTTTTTTTTAACTGTGTCTTTCACAACGTCTTTTTTAAGGTTCAAATTTCAAAGGTAAATTTAATAAGCTTTAGGTATATAAATTGTAGAACTGAAACTCTGAATTCAATATTTCTACCAGCGTATAAGGAAAAAAAAAAAGAAAAAGGTTTCCAAAACTTAACAAGAAGTTGAAATTCTCAATTAACGAACACGCTTGATAAATTATTTTCTATTTTATTTTGATTATCTGGATATTTTTTTTTCATTTCTTCCTGATTGTAGATAAATAGAATTTTAGACTTTGTTTAATTACGTGCTAAATTATTTCTGTCTAATAAAACGGAAGCCATCTCCTAGGTGTCCTATCTGGCCAGAACGGAAGCCAACATTCAGCACACATGAGCTCCTTTGCACAACCTCCCCGTCTACGAGAAAAGGTGAAGCACTTACTTTCTTCAAAGATGCTTTGCTGCGGTCGTAGAAAGGTACGTAAAGAATGTCGTTTAAAACGTTATTAATTTTGTGGCGCTGTTCTTTGTTGGAATTCATAGAACGGCATGATTAACAACAATTAGAGAAGAACATCTTTAGTTTAAATACTTGTTTATGATCTTTGTTTAGAAATAAACTTGAAAATAATTACAATTAACTTACTTAGTCTAGTTGACACCAAAAAGAAAAAAAATGTTGTTGCTCACGACAGTTGATGATATAAATAGCACCTGGAACATCACTATATCAGTTGTATGCTAGCCAATCTGATGAGCCCTGGTATTGAGCGAAATGCTTCGTCGGCACTGAATGTGGCATATGTAGTGTGATTGACCTATTATAACATCTTCCCCTTCTTTGTTTTCACTCGTAAGTTGTTAGAATTCATAAGAATGACATGGCTAACAACATTCAGAGCGGTACATCCGTCTCTCGAGTATTTGTTTAAGAAATTCGTTAAGTTTACTTTAGAAACAGACTTACTGACTTTCAGCAGTTTCAACTAATCATTTTATTCGTGTATTTTTTTCATTAATAAAAATATTTAAAAATAATAAAACATAAAATAAAAAAGATAATTAGGTCAAATATGTATTCGTATTTAATGAATAAATATCGAACGAGTTTTCAAGTTTGTTGAATTACGCGCAAAACTACACGTGGGCTATCTGTGTTAGACGTCCTAACTTAGAAGTAATTGGCTAGATGGAAGGCAGCTGGTCAACACTACACGTGGGCTATCTGTGTTACGTCCTAACTTAGAAGTAATTGGCTAGATGGAAGGCAGCTGGTCAACACTACACGTGGGCTATCTGTGTTACGTCCTAACTTAGAAGTAATTGGCTAGATGGAAGGCAGCTG